CATACATGGCAACAATGTACAGTAAACAACAAAGGGTGTTTTTAAATGTTTGAGGAGGTTACTTGAGTTGCAGCTGTGTGGTTGCAGCTGTGTGGCACTTTCTTTTCACAAATTTGCATGAAGTACATTTGCCAAAATAAAGGTTGTTTTTGTTATTTCTACCTGAACCTGGCTCCTGCACTTGGGTCCTCCTGCGTTCCTTATTCTGAAAGAACAAACTGACCAGACATGGACCCAGCAGAGTTTCACCTTTTGTTCAAAGGTCTCACCATGCCAGCCACACACCAACCATCCCAGATTCTACAACCACCATTAACCGATACCCTGGCACTTTTATTTGTATGCACAAAATCATAATATACATTATTTTAAGTAACTTTACATAGATGGTCAAGGTCATAAATATTATATAGATATATAGATATAGATATATATACAGTAACCCCAATGAGCAGCACTTCGGCAACTGTGGCGAGAAAAAACTCCCTCATTAACTGGAAGACACCTCAAACAGAACTAGACTTATTGTGGGCGGTCACCTGCATCCACTGGTTGGGATGAGCAGAGAAAAATGGGGAGGGGGAGGAGAGGGGGAGAGACCAGGAACAGTTGTGCACCATCAGTTTTCAGCTCTGACTAGTTATAATGAAAATAATAAGAGTATAAAGATCTTATTAATGATAGCAACAACAATTCATATCATAGTAATAATAAATAATAATTGTTGTTGTCTGAATCCTACAGCTCTGCATCAGAGATACCTGCAAAGAGAGAGAGAGACACTATGGGAGGGAAAAAAACACAAAGTTAGTGATGTAGCAAAATAAATAAACGTGTCAGACTCTGAATTGGAAGATCTGGATACACTGTACATAGAAACTCACCTCACTCGCCTGAACACTTTCACAGACGCTCATAGATGCTACAGGAGAAAGGGACATCGGTCTTCCAAGCTGACCTGCAACACAGTCTCCGCTCCCCAAAACCATACACTCCCTGAGAACCACCCTCTGAGAGACTCCTGTATATAAAGCCTGCATTGAGGATCCCTGCTGACACTTCTGCTGTTCTAGTGTCAGGGTTCCTGACTGACGCTTCTGCTCTCCCAGCAGTTGCCTATGCAACTTCAATGTTGGTCTGTCCCTAGCCTTTTCCTGATCTCCAGCAGTCAACCCTTGCTCCAGTTCCTGCCCCTCATCTGAGGACGCCAGTCTGGCCAATGCTGATCCTGTTCCAGGTCCCACGCTGGCAGTGAGGCAGACACATGGGGCCACATATGGGGGGCACAAAGTCTGAAAATGGTGTACACAACAAAATATTAAGACTTTAATATTATTAAGAAAAACCATGCGCATCACACCTGAAGGCAATGTTTCTATATAAATCATACTCCAACTGTAAAAGTGCGTATGTGGATCTGCCTTAAAGTCCGCTATCCACAAGCCCATATTCAACCATAAACGGTCAATGCAAAGCACCTCATGAATATAAAAGTAACCTGATGACAAATGGGTTTCTATGGTGAATCATGGCATCACGCAATGAGAAGAAGAAGCACAACACTCAAGCTGTTTGTGAATGAGGTGGACCCATGTCGGCTGTGATGTCTATGCCATCGCCTGGTCCTGGTCTGTTGGCTGTGACGGCAATGCCATCCCAAAAACAGAGCTTAAACAATCTCCAAAGCCCAAGCCAGAGCTGCAGCCATCTCCAGAACCAGTGCCTGAGTCATCGTAGTCTCCTGTCCCTGGTGCAGCGTTGATGGAGAGGAAGACACCTGCTCTTGTCCGTTCTTCATAGAGAACCAGTGTGCTGCTTTGTCCCCCTGCTCAGCCCCCCATGAGGACCAGCCTTTATCCCTCGGGCCATCTGCCCAAAACATCTCTGCCCGGCTTGTCCACCCAAGCACCCATGCATGCCATTTTTGTTATTTCACACTTGGGTCCTCCTGCTTTCCTTATTCTGTCAATTACTTTTTTATTAAATAAGAGTTCTCTATTAAAAATTTTGATTTTTACTTAATCCTATTTCGCTTCTAAATACTGTACATCATCAATCATGTGATATATGATTGAAACATGAATAAATCAGGGTGTGTTGGGGAAAATTCTTGATTTCAGTAAAGCTTCAACAATAAAAACAGTCATGATATCTTCATCAGTGATACATGTTGGTGATATAAACAATAAAAATATTTTTATATACTGAGGCTTGAACACATTTAGTACTTCCTTATCATAATACTGTGAACACCACAATTTCTAAATTCCAATTAAGTCATTATATTGGGTTGGAGGCAAAAATCTTGGGGATATGTTCAGACATAAATACACCTTTGATACAAAAGATATGATTAATGATATCGTCTGTGTAAAATACCCAGAATTCGCTGGTTCCTTATCCAGTATCTAAATTGTCTTCTGCATTTTATGATAAAGTGATTAACACCTTACTTCTTACTCTTCAGAAAATGACAGAATGCATTTTATGCATTAATTTTACAAATATTGACAGTCATCAGTCATTGTTTCAATATTGATAGGAGCAAGGGAAAGGCACAAGTATGTTTACTAGGTAGTCCCTTCAGGCCTTGTGTGTTTGTGTGTGAGAAAGAGAGATTGGTGCAGACAAGCAGCAGGTACAGTTGGCTAGGGGCCAAGATTCCTGCAATACTGAGTCACATGGGTTGATCATTCTCTCTCTCTCTCTCACACACACACAAACACATACATGCGCATGCTCTCTCACACCCAGGAATCACCGTATTGTATGATGTACAAGCCCTTCCCCCTCCCTCAGATCTCTCTTGCTGTCTCTCTCTCTCGGCTCGATTGCCCTCATTTGCTCTCTCTTTTTCCTCTCTTTACACTCACACATACACACATACAAAAAACACTCACACGCAGTCAATGGCAGAGAGCACTGGTGCAGAGCTACGTTTAACAAATATGAGGTAGGACCAGCTGAAATTTTCATGCCTCCTTGCAATATTTAAGGCTCTGTGCTCCACTTTTCTAGCAGTCTGTTTATCACTGCTAGTTTCTAGAATGTGTGTGGGTGTGTGTGTCAGTGTGTTTTAGCCTTTACCACTGCTTATCAGAGGGACCCTCGGACTATAATGGATATCTATTCTAGGAGGCTGTCAGGAGCATGATAAGAGGAAAGCAGCTCTGATTCCACTCATGTTTGTACAACAAAATCTCCTCTGTCTTTTATACTGCTGGTTGGATGAAGTGGCTCAGGTTGTCATTAATGTATCTTTCATTATTCCTAGCTTGTTTTCACACTTAAAATTTTCCCCTTCACAGATGAGAGGGAGGACTGTGTGTTAGGGAGTTTACCGCTGTTCAGTTTCCGGATAAGTCGAGTGGAGCCCGCAGATAACATCACCCGCAAGTTTGCCTTTAAGGTTAGTAACATCCAAGAAACATTTAAAAAGCTTCTTGGGGGTCTTTATTTTATTGTATTTCATACAAGGTTACTCAAGAACATACTTGAGTCCATATGACTTTTAATGTACATGACATAATTTAGTAAGACACAAATTATTATATGTTGGAATATCCTGTAGTTTGGTTGTTTTAGTCTTGTCCAAATATTTCAAATAAATATTTCAGTTAGAAGAAAATGTTGTAGCTGTAGGTTTCCCTAGTAGACAGCAGTGCCTCACAGAAGCACTGCCCTAACCCTTGAAGAATCCTTGTTGTGCAATGTTACTTAGTAATGTTTGAACTTGTTGTTCCTTGGTTACATTGCTGTGGCTTAGTGAAGGTTTGAGGTTAGGCTCTGGGTGATTGATAGATCATGGCTGAGTTAAATTATATTATTTATTACTGTAAAGTAGCACCATGGGAACGTGAATCTCTAGCTCTTATCAGGTGATGAGATTGAGATTCCTAGTTAAGCAAGAAACCTTTATTATACTATGGGTTTTGATGTTTGATCAGGTTGTTTGTCCTATTTCTTATTGTTGATGTTGATATTATCTATACCTGATTTGTGTGTGTCTTTTTGTTAATTTATACTACACAATTCACAGCAACAATTCACTTGTAGCTATGGCTCAGAAGTTAGCGAGGGACGTTCAGTAACCACAAGCTATGTGGTTCAATCCCCAGCTTCTACAGTCTGCATTCAGAATTGTACCTGGGCAAAATACTGAACCCCTGATTGCTGTGTGCTAACAATGTATGGATAGTGTTCAATAGAAAAAGTGCTGTATGAATGAACAAGTCAGTGGATGGGTGAATGCAACTCATACTGTAATGGACTTATAGTAGTTTTATTTCATTTAAAGAGTTAATTTACCCTTTGCAAGTTTGGAATTATATATACAATATTTAAAAATACACTAATTATCAGTGTTTATTGTTCACAAGCCCTTCACATCACCGCCTACACAAGCATCATTTTGACTGATTAGGATGATTGGATCATAAGCACACATTTATCTTGGTAGGGATAGAAAGGGCCAAATATACCATTTGTGAAATCAACGGTGTGCAGCACTGACAGCACCTTGTCCTAATTTAAAATGTATATTTCCCAAAATGTTGATTTATTAATAATTTACTTTCAGTGTCAATATCATGCTACCTAAAAGAACTGTTTGTAAGAGCTGAATAAAGATGAGACCATTTTAATTAAAAATAGGTTAGCTGAGTCTATAAATGGCAAATAAATCTTAATCATTTAACATCAGTATTAAACACACTGAATTGACAGCTTTCTCTTAGAATCTCTGCCACAACTTTCTTTCTTATCTCTCCCTCATTATCAGTTTTCTTCTCTTTTTAGAACATTTAGTCCTTTTTGTTGTTTTCTTTTCTTTCACTGCATATCCAGGAAGCTCTGGTGCAAAGTCCAGTGCATGTACACAAACACACACACACACACACATACACACACACAATGTTCTTCTATCTTAGTGAGGACGCTCATTGACATAATACATTCCCTAGCCCCTTACCCTAACCTTAGCCATCACAACTAAATACCTAAACCTAACCCTTACCCTAAACTAAACCTAATTGTAACCCTATCCCTAAAACCAGTGGTGTAATGGTCCCTGGAGAAGTGGGTATACTCTAAATGTTTGCCCTTTTTTAGCGCAGCCCAGAAAAATGCCCTGTTTTAGAAACAGTGACATGTAAGACTACTCTATTTAGTTTACCCAAAAATCCATCAGTAGTATTTGCTCATTGTCACATAATTTCTGCTGCTCTCAGGGAGGAAGGATTATGAAATTACTGAACCAATACTGGCCCACAGACTAGTGAGAGACAACTATGCATTTTGASTGAACTATTGACACCTATTCTCTCACTTGGCAAGTCACTATTTTTTTTGTAAACTGTTTCTTTGAACAGCTGATTTGCAACAGATAGCATGGGCCAGAGTGTGCCACTATTATAAAATTAACATGACTTGATCAGGAGCAGTTTGTAGGTATTACTGTTCACACAGGAAGCCTGAATATAAAATATAGATGAGGCAAACATGGTTGAATCTTTGGAGACATATCTACATCTAACCCGAACACCAACAAAAAGGGAATTTAACAAGTACAGTCCTCAAAAGAGAGCACAACCCCATGCACACAGTTGAGGACTGTAGAGATATATCACAGCGTACTGAGAGATGTGCTCCTGCAAGACAACTGTCCCTTTTTCATCCAGGTCTCTGAGGGTATATGAGATAGGATATGAGAAGGAGGTGTCGATGAAGGAAATGCTCTTTAATGTCCATCCATGCATAAAATATCATGATTATGTCTTTGGAAAGCAGTCTACAACAGTGGTGTCAAACTCTATGACAGAGAGGGCCAAAATTAAAAACCGGGAGTACCTCGAGGGCCAAACAGGGTCAACATTTATTAAATAGGATAGACAGGATATTGGATAAATTGCAAAAGAAAACATATTTAGGTCGGCTACATTCTTCTTTTATTTACATGTGCCAGAACCAGATGTTTGGCATCTGTTCTTGGCTGCCAGTTCATTAATGTTTGGGTTTAGGTTCTTTGCTGTAGAAACCCTCAAGATGGAGTGAAGGTGTGCATCAGTGAGACGACTCCTGTGTTTTTGTTCATCTTCATCAGAGAGAAAAGCGTGTGGGGGAACTTGACGGGACAGGTACTGGGATCTCTGGAACACTGGAAGATTCAATTAATATAATAATGGAGAGGTGCGCTCGCTCTGTGTGTGTCTAGCTGGGCATTGCGCACCAGCGGGCCAGTTAAGGTAGACATAATATTTGATCACGGGCTGGATACAATTGGCTGCAAGTGGCCCACGGGCCTTTAGTTTTACATCTCTGGTCTACAATGATCACAAGCCACTTGAAAAATTCTATACATCACTGTTTTAGAATCATATTGCATAAAGAGAATTGTATTGTCTGCACCTGCAGTTGTATTACTTAAATATTGGTTACAGGAGAGGGAAAGTCATGGAGCTGCCTGAAGCACTGCCAAGATTTCAACTCACCTACATTAAATCATAGTTGGATGGATTGAAGTGTTTATCTATGCTCAACTGTGTAGCAGTGAGTGAGGAAATATATGCTACAGGAATGCACAAAAAAGGAGCGAAGCCTGCTCCATACACAATCCATCAGGGATGGCCAGAGTGTAGGAGAAACAATCGAGTCATTAGTTCCTGGATGTTTAAAGACGCTGGCGTGTATGCCGCTTCAGACTCCGTTGCCAAATTGTGTTTTTTTTCCTTCTCATTGCTACTAGATCCACTGCTAATTGACTGAAAAAAGATAGCTTCATCTCCTGCTCCTGGCTTAACTTTTAGTAACTCAGTGCTGCTATATGTCAAGTCAGTGTACTTACCATCTCTGGCGATGAGCTGTTATCTGCCCTTAAGCTGTTTGCTTATCCTCACCAGTTAGGGATCCACTGGTGTACACAACACAGGCCTGTGATCTCAGGGCTGCCCCTTCTTGTTTTGGCCCTGTCTGCTCTCCACTTGCTCAGTCCCATCTCCCTGTTCCAGACTGGTCCCTGGCTCACAGCCTGGCTATGTCATCCCCATTGTCATGTCTGACGGCTTCCTGTCAAACCGTGAAGACGTCATTCAAACCAAATATTCATATAGACAATCTGAGACCTCTCGTCTGTGTTAACGGCATCATTCTCCTCACCCCCTCTACCACAGCATCTACCATCTGAGTTACTCACAACCACCTCTCAGCTCTAGGTCTCCATCAGCACTCCTGCTCTGTGATTTCAATATTTATTCATTCAGTGCAAACCATCAAAAGAATATGGAACAAAGCTCCAGACAAAGACTGTAGACTTGTGTCCTGCACAACTGCTCAAGGGTGGGGGAACTTGAAACAAACTGACCATAACTCACTAACTGCTTGTCCCAAAAGCTTACAACTCCCTTAATATTGAATATATAATGGACAAAAGTTTTCCACTTCTACTATGATAAGAGCAGATTATGTAAATCCAGATGGTCACAAGATGGTCCCCAGCAGTTGTTAATGTGAAGAGACATAGCACACCCTGTTTCTAATTTTTCAGTCCAGGTGAGGCTGCACCCAGTCACAAAATTCTGAAATTAGTTACTGGTGATGTATCAGATTAATCTCTTGAAAAACACCAAGAATAACAAACGTCACATATAAAAGATAAATAGTAAAGTATCGTATAAATCCTATTATTATTATTATTATTATTATTATTATATTCTAGAAATGTATGCTATATCTTGACAACATGATGTCAGCTCTGGAAGTAATAATTAGGGTGCTGCACCATGTTTCCATTCCAAATGTGATCATGCACACTCCTGTAGAATGTCAACACGATCTCAATGGGTCTCATTCACCATTTTCTTAAGAATTTTCTTAAATTTGTTATAAGTTATCTCAGAAAACTCTTACGTCAGATTCATGATGCATTCTAAAACTGTAGAATTGTTTCCAATTCTGATGGATCCCATCGGTACTAGACGGACCACGTTCAGACAAAATGTTTTAAATAATATTTGGGTTCAGGTTCCTCACAGGGAGCTCTGCAGCTCTGCTCTGGGCCAGAAATAAACTCAGTTTTCAGAATTAACAAGCTTCACTTGGATGCAATATTTTAATATGTAAACATTAGTGTGTAAAACCTAAGATGCATAACTATTCTCCTCTTCAACATGTTCATGTGTTTAAAAAGTGTTATCTTTTGCAAAATAGATATATTAATCAAATATTCTGTGTGTGCTCCCTTCTTCAACATTTCCAAGAAAAGAAAATATTTTAGTTTTTCTAAATCTTTCATTTTGAATCTTGCTGAGAGCATCTCCTTTACAACTACCAGTGCATGTTTGTCACTGGTGACCATGATTAAATCATCAACCCAAAATATTATGATAACATTATATATATATATATTTCTGTTTC